GTTGGGCAGCACAAAAGTGCAATCTGATATTCCTATGAGGGACTGTTGGTGCAGTGCACAACACAACACAGCAGTGCTTCTTTGAGGTGTTTACCAAATGACCCAAAGAGTGACTTCAGCATAGGAGGGTTAAAAGTATTTATGAATTCACAACAAGAAGGTCTGCTGACATTACCACTGTGAAATCGTGCAATGCCAAGACAGTGAAGATTTCAACTTGTGCCATTATAATTGTTTAACTTTCACTTTATTTTCCCACCTGTCATTGACCGTAGTATGACCTGTCGGCGTCACAGTTCTCCCCCGATGGAAGGGTATTTCAGGTGGAGTATGCCATTAAAGCGGTCGAGAATAGCGGGACGGTGATCGGTCTGCGCTGCAAGGACGGCGTGGTCTTTGGAGTGGAGAAACTGGTCACGTCCAAGCTGTATGAGACAGGATCCAACAAGAGAATATTCAACGCTGACAGACACGTTGGTGTGGTGCGTACAGAAAATGCTGATTATTGTAGACTGATGAATGTACATGTTAATACAAATTAATTGAAATGAAAGCAGGAATGCGTGCAGACACAACAGCTCAGGGCAAGTTCGATCAAGGACCACAGTTGACCATAGTTCGACTAACTCTGATCAAATGCACGCTAGTTGACCATAGTTGGACTAGTCTAGTCAACTATTCACGACGAGGCTGCTGAGGTTGGTCGCGTCGATGGTTGCCATAAACCATTTTTAATAGCAGTGTAGAGAGGACCAGATATAAGAAAAATGACGACCAAGACGAGAATCATTTTTCAATTTATATGTGCAGAGAATTGTTTTGTACCATTCCCTTCAACTGTTGGTGGATTAGGGAAGCCTTCAAGCAAATTAACCCTAACCGCCAAGCATATTCTTTGGTTTACACTACACAGTACTACAAAACACTAAGTAATAGTCTGAGCCTGAAGGACCTAGCGCTACAGATTACTACTTTTGGCTAGGTTACTTCCATTGTTACTTGAACAGAGAACAATAAAGCCATGCATTCATAGTGCCACAGCACTGTGCGGTACATTGTCTTATCTATTGTATCTTATGGCTTCAGAGAACAATGCGGTCATGTCCTCTTACAAGCGGCAGCACTGATTACTACATTTTACTATAAGTAGTAATTTGTAGTATTATGTAAGGTTAGGGTTAAAAGTGCTTACTAAAGTAGTTTGGGTTAATACCTCAGCTTGTCTTGGAATTCAATTTATTACTTAAAAACCTGAGCTTGAACTTCAGATGTGTGAATAGTTACAGCAAAATGTAATCATAAACCTTGTAGTTGCCCACATGTGAATGGAATGCCACATAGAAGTCAAAGTGACTTTTTCTCCTTTTTATATGGTATCCATGTCTTTTCAGGCAGTAGCAGGACTCCTTGCAGATGCAAGACAGGTAAGAAAATCTGCATGTGATTTCTCTCTGCTGTGGAAACTGGGCTTATTACAAATAATGAGTGGTTTAAATTTATTGAGGAGAGGAATTTCATGAGGTGACAGACCGAGTGTTCTGTTTGAGGCAATGCAGAGGAACGGAAGATTCAATCTGTCATTGTGAAAGATACATTAAATGTTTTATACAACGCCTGGACAAATCCTGTTCGCATTGCTCTTACTTTCTCAGTCAGGCATACAAGTGTGACATGTAGTTTTCATGTTCTGAGCCACAACTGAAATTTTGCATGTTTGTGCAAAGACCTGAAACTGTGCCCTTCCTACTCGGGGATAGTGCAACATTCTTTGACTTTGTGAAGAGCTGTGAGCGTGCCTGATAAGTGTGCGCATAGTTTTGTTGTATAATAAGGTATAGACTGAATAAGGCAATGACATGTGCACCACAACCCACCAGTTAGTTGATGGAAATTTATTGTATAGTATACAAATAATGAAAGCTCATAAGTGCAATGGTAAAATGTGTTCCATAAGACGGCAAATGGAATGTTCTTATCTACACGGCTTGTGGAATGGAACATTTCAAATAATGTGATATGTGTGTCTTTGCCTTTATCCCCCACAGCTTGTTGAGACAGCTCGGGATGAGGCATCAGAATACAGAGCATCATATGGTGGGCCCATCCCACTCAAGGTAAGGCAGAGGGTATTCATCTGTGTTATGTGGGAGAACAATGAGCTATTGCCATTCACAAAGTTGGGAGTAGAGTTGTTCGGTTGGTTCTGTCCTCTGCCATGAGGATTTTTCTCCCGGTTCCCTGGTTATCATCCCTCCACAGAATCAACACGTACAATCTTTGGCTGTGCTCCATGGGTAGACATGGGTCATTTTATGGCTGCCAAATGTGTCTTTATTTCCCTTCAGCTTGACCATGTTGTAGTGTAATGTCTCTATTGTACATTATTTCAACATAATTCTATGAATTGCCCCCTTTAAAAAAAAAAATACATGTAGAATATAATTTGTTGAATTCCTTTCTGTGTTTGGCGTGAGCTCTTAGAGGAGTGATTCTCTGTCTCTTTTTCTGCATTTGTCTCTTGTCTGGCTTCAAAATTGTTTCTAAAACAACACAGGTTAAATGGGAAGGGGGGATTCTTTCTCTGTCCAATGTGCCTTGTTTTTGTTAGCTGTTAACTGTTTCTGCCAAGGTACCTTTCATCAACGAGTTCCTTCGTTTTTCTGGCATAAAGTAATCACAGATGTTGTGTTCTCACTTCATTTCAGTATTTAGCCGAGAGGGTGGCAATGTACGCACACGCTTACACATTATACAGTGCAGTGCGGCCGTTTGGTTGCAGGTAAGGAGAAAATTTAATTGAGTTACCAAACTGACTTCCATGTAAACACAGACTTCAGCGGAAACTGCTTATGCTCTTGCGTAGTCTAATTTACTGTATGTATTTTATGCGGTGGTAGTGAGGTGCTGTGACCTGGTCTGTGTCAAATTCAAGATCGGGGTCATTCTACATGTTGTGGGTTGGAGTTCAACCAGGGGTACTCTGTTGTAGTGTGTCTTTGGAGAAGACAGTTTGCCTGCCCTTATCCCCGGGGGGAATGGGCAGTTTTGAGGGCAGAGATTGGCTACTTGGCAAAAAAGCTGCAGTGTGTTGTGTTCTGTACCTCCCAGAGAACTAAGATGGTCGTAGAAATGTTTCCCAGACCCAACTAACAAGGTTAATAATGATGGTGTATATGTAGGCCCATGAATGCCAGTCTTGTCAGTAGGTCTACATGCACATTTCCCAAGGCAGTTTTGCACAAAGTGTTAAGGTTTACAAATCAAATCATCAAAACGTGGATCTTCTGCTGATCGAATCAGAGCACTTGCTCTTGGAAACAATGAAGTTCACAATCATTTGTTGAACCTGCAAGCATTCTGTGCTTGACTTAGAAAGGGAGGTTTCCTTGACTTCTTTTATGTGGTTACGAACTGTTGCGATTTTATTTGCTGATGTCAATTTGATGGTTTGTTTGGTTCTTTGCAGTATACTCTTGGGATCATACCAAGAAAAAACCCCTCAATTGTACATGATTGATCCATCTGGTGTTACCTGGGTGAGAGAAATATCTTGTGTTTGATTACCAACTGTTTTTGTTTGAATTTATTTGAATTTTTACTATCTCTGTTAGCCCTCTGTTAATTTTTCTGTTAACCATAAGTTCCCTCATATCTGTCAGAGTATACAGGACTAATTTTCACCCCAAAACGTGTACATTCTAGTTTATGTCACTGTCTCTCTTTGCTACTGTAATGGAGGGGGGGTACTCTTGAGGATTCCAACCCTCATGATGCACCAATTCCCTTTCCACCACTCCCATTCAATTCTGCCAGGAATTTGTGCCCATTCTTTGGAAAATTAACAGCATGCTGTGAGCTTTTGTGCACATTTGCTTTGCCTTGACTTAGCCCTGTGGAATGATTAGAGAATCCTCTGTGATTCCCATGTGGACTCTACACAACTTCAGTCATCGTTACTTTTTAAAAAAACTTTTCCTTAAAATCCAGGTCACATATTCCTCAGTTGCAACTTTAATCAGTGGAAACAATTTTAACCCTTAATCGATTTGATTTCTTATGTTCTTGTTAATTGTGGTGCTACTTCATGTAATAGTGCTCTATAAATCCTTATAATGTTACCTATTATGTTGAACCTTCCTGTTTTGAATGTTCACTGTTTGGACTGAAATGAAAATTGTCAAACCCTACCTTTATATTAGGTAATTGGGTATTTTTGTAGCAGAAAAAGGGTGGCATCAAGATTGAAGGTTCATGCAGACTGGACCAAAAAGATTTGACCAAATTACGAAACTGAAGGTTAAAGCCGAGAACAGACAAAACCACAATTTCAAAAACTCCCTTTCCATTGCAGGGGCTGTTTTTGGCCAGCCTCAGGACGGTGAGAGGTGAAAAGCGATGGAGTGTCAATTGATATACATTGTGCTTTACCCCCAGGGCTACCACGGCTGTGCCATAGGCAAAGCCAAGCAGGCAGCCAAGACCGAGATAGAGAAACTTCTGACAACAGACAGACATGTCAAGGACATGTCCTGCAGGGAGGCAGTCAAAGAGGTCTCAAAGATGTACGTATTGAGCCAGAGACTTTTTCTCATCTTCCCCGTGCTGATCATCCCAGGGATGACAATTAAAAAAAACCTCCCCCCCCAAAAAAAAAAATGGCCAAGCAAACAACAAAATCTTGAAGGATTTAAATGAACATGCTAAACCAGAATGCAACAGAACCGAATTATTTCAAAGAATGAGCATTGCATCCGTTCACATAAGTCGAAGTAGAATTTTAAAGTTTCAATTTTGTACCGTCAGTCTGTTTTAGTCTTTCGAATGTAATTCCGTTTCTGAACTATGTGTAATTTGGCAGTATACATGTATTTTAATCGTGGCTCTCTAAAAATCTTGTCTGACCACTGAACATAACTTCAATATACTGTAATTGTTTCCAGAAAGAGATTGCAGTATTTTTTTTACAATTTTATCCAATATAGTTTAATCTTTAAAACCAGTTTTACCTTTTGAATATTAACTAAGACTCATATTCACTGCAAATGATAAACCACACTGAATACTTGTCATGTTTTCATCCTTTTTTGTTCACTTTATGTGCAGAATTCAGTTCGAATTTTATTGAAGAATAGGCTACGTTCACTAATGTGGGATGGGTCTCTTGAATTTTCCCTGTGTAGCATCCACATTGTACATGACGAAATCAAAGACAAGAGCTTCGAGTTGGAGCTGAGCTGGGTCGGTGAGATGACCAACGGTCGACACGAGCTGGTCCCAGAAGATGTGGCACAGGAAGCATTCAAATTTGGAAAAGTAAAATTGCCAGACACTAGACTTGTGAACCCCTGTTCTAAACTATCCAATTCATGGCAAAGGCCAAAAGATCACTGTTACATATATTAGTGCAGCCTTTAGTGCATGTTCTTTGGGGTACAAGTGTATATAAAATAAGCATTCCTACTCATTGGAGCTGCTTCCTTATGAAAAGTCAGACTGAAATATCATTTTTATTTCCTTTTTACAGGATGCATTAGAGGAGTCGTCCAGCTCTGAGGATGAGGACATTTAGAAGATGACCTTCAATTTCACAGTATCGTCCATTTCCACGATAGTGCGTAGCTCCCTCGCTCTCCGTTTACTCTGATCTTTCTTACAAAACCACAAGCTTTGAACAATGCTATTTTGCATTTGTTTTCCACATACAGTACCCGTATGTGACAAAAAGAAAATCTTAGGGTCTTTTTAATGAAGAAATGACACTTGACAGTTATGGAGCTCTTACCTCATACCCCAAGAATCTAGTTCATCCTTTCATTCAGATTTGACTGTAAGGAAGAGTGAACCTACATCATGTACAAGTACCCTTCAGAATCCAGAATTCCCATGAAACAAGTTTGGTTAGATTAGTTTATGGATAAAGTGTAGCACACTTGTTGAATTTTGGCCCCAAGTTTTGTATGTTGGCGCAGTTCATTATTTTTGAGAAGGCCCTTTTTTTATACTTGAGATGAAACTGAAGGCAAAGACCAGTTTTGAAGTGTGCCCGTCGAATTGGCCCTTCCTCACTTAAGGGTCTTTTCTTTTGTGTAGTTTCCATATAGACACAACATGCTTACGCCCAGTGGTATATTCTTGAATGTTGGCGCCATTGACTCTTCCCATTTCAATTTTCCCAATAAAACACAGTGTACTGTGTCAACATTTTAAAAACAAATACATCTAATTACAACACAGTGTCGATTAGAGTGGATTTCTTTCATGTTGTGGCAAGTCAGCATTGTGTAACAGCTTTTATATGTCCTAAAAATTAGAATAGGAGGTATTGATTGGTCATGACCCAGAAACTCTCCACTTCTTAATACAGATTTTTGAAACTTAACTATAAGAGAATTAAGAATTAAGTGTACAGTGTACATGTACTTTAACCTCCATAGGATCCTGTTGCCAGGAAGATTCTTTTGGTAAGGAAGTTACGCTGACTGACCAACTTTTTGGTGTCACCATAAGTTTCAGGATGCCCCAAAGCGTGAACTAAAAAAAAAGAAAAAAGTTGGTCTCCACAACAGCAGAAAAGTATGCATGTCTTAACTTGAACATGTACTCGTAGCATCGCTGCATTTTCTGCACTTTTGGAAGCCGAATTTAACCCCTCCCCCGGGCAAGGTTTCTGTTGTTGAGTCCCTGAATGAGAGAAAGTTATCTTGACAGTGGAATTTTTAGTTGCAGAAGTGTGAACGCCTTCGGTAGCATGAGGATGCCACATATTTCAGGTGCATGTATAACTTGCACAAATATGGAATTTAATATGTAATGGGTGAGCAGCACTGGGCTCCAAGATTTTCAGGCAGTTGGGAAAACATACAAAAACAATAAACTTGCTAAGTCTGCTTTTTTCAAACAGATTACAGTGTTTTCTTTATTAAAGAAAATGTGTACAATTCAGTATGAACGTAGAGTTGAAGTCATTGTTAAAGTCTGTTTTGTCCATAAGTTCCATGTACATGTAGATTATATTACACTGATTTGTTGGGTGGAAGAAATTTAGAATTATACCAGACATGTATTTCAGAACTAACTACCTATGATCTAAAAAAACAACAACACTTAACACGTGTATGGATTAAGGTATATGTACATGTACATATGCACAGTTAAGCCACACTCTTGATGCACTTTTCTGGAAATTTTCAAAATCACCCAGTGTGTGAAAACAACAGCACATTCTGAATTTGATTTAATAGGACACAAAATCCCTCATTGGATGTAATGACAGGACTTTACATATACCTCATTTAATGCTTCGAAATCCTTACAAAACCAGGATTTTGAAGGATCTGGGATGGTTGGGATTAAAAATGCCTCACTGGATTTAGAAAATAAACATTCTAAATATGCATATTACATGAACTGGTACATCTACATTCTTTAATGGTCACAACATTATGTAGCCTACATTCTATTGCCTCACATCAGACACACACAGGAACATGTAACTGCAAATGTGACTAGATATTGACAACAGATATTTTGCTAGTGCATTAAGAAGGTAACTGGGACTGTAGCATCAACACTTCTATCAATGTAAAAAAACAGAATCGTAACCTCACCACAGTTTACTACCCCATCTACCATACAAACATTTACTCTGCAAGATACATGTAACTACACATTCAAACCTCATTATTGATTAACACATATAATTACTATTGTTACAGTACATTTGAACAGTCAAATGCATAAAATAGTGCATGGTACTCAGCCATGATCATCACTAAAGTTTGGAATCAAGTGATTCTGTTTTCCCTCAAAAATTAAATATACCATTTGGGGCAAAAAAAAAAGATCCTAACTTTGCGAGTCATCTCCATGGCAACCATGCTCCAATTCCAGCAGGAGTGATTGACAGTACAGTGTGCGATGAAATGTTCATCTCGTAGACACCATTTTTTTTTACTCCATCAATGACGTCTTTCATGAATTTTCCTCTAGGCAAATATCTGCTCTTCATATAACATACATGCAGCACCGCACAAACACTATGCGCATGAATGCCTCATAAATAAACTTGGCCTAAACCATACTTACATGTACAATGTATATGTGAAACAATTCCGATCACAATCAGGCACTTCCAATAAGAAACAAAATCAATACCAATTGATTATCTACGTGCAAAAGTAAAACCATTTGACACGCCCAAGTAACCTTGTGGCAAGTTCGATCAAGGACCAGCAGTTAACTTGTGGTTTGTTTGTGATGTACCCGGCGCATGTGCAGTATACAGTAAAGTTGTGAGTGCAAACGGCTCTAGTCAACTGTTGTCAGGTCATTTACATGTAAGCCTACGGGGAAAAAAGTGGCCATTTGAAGGGGCAAAATAAGAAAAGTGAAAATGATACTTTACAAGCAAACTAATGTTTTTCCATGATTTTTTTCATATGACTGGTCCTTTCTGTACTAAGCTATCCAAAACTTCTATGGCAACCAATGACAAGACCAACCATAATAGGCCAGTCACAATTAGTCAGACTAGTCCAACCACAGATGACTAGTGTGTGATTGATCAGAGTTAGTCAAACTATGGTTTACCATAGACCTTTACCATGGGGCAGTCATCTTGTTTTTCTACTATTCAAAGCAATGTAACCAAACTAAGGCTACATCCGAATCTCTTGTCTAGAGCTAGGTCTAAGTCTTCACTCCATTGGAAATGCGTGGAGATGCATAGACAATAGACCTAGCCGTACCTCTGGAAGCCCGTTTCGGACACGGCCTGAGGCTGGAAGGGAAAAATAGTCTGTTTCCTTTAACCAATATGTGAACTTGTGTTACTATTCTCAAGGTGGCCATAGGGAACAAGACAAACATGGCAGCATCATGATAAAGGTCTATATGGTCCTTGATTGAACTTGCCCACACCTGTCCATACATGTACATACATGTATATGCAACACATAAACATAGCCTGTGTACCTCTTCCGCTGCAACTGAAAAAGAAAACACTTAGGCTTAATTTCTTGGCGATAGAATCTACAATTCTAAGTGGCAGTCTTTACTGAAATAAAGTTAGGCACCTTTTTCAAACCTCCCTCACACTCAGTAAATTGGTGAAAAGTGCGATCAGTGTTAATTTCAAGAACTGACGTGCATCATATTTGCGTACTTAATGAGTTATTTCGGTTTCACTTCACACTTGAATCTTAATAAATTATTCAGCTTTTACAAACTCAAGTATGTAGGCACTGGGGCAGAAATACAGAGAAAAATGCTACGAAAGGGATGACATTAATTTACTCTAAGCAATTGTAAGGTTATGAAAACATTTAATGTGAAAACTAGTTAACAGTCGAAAAGAAGACAGGTTTCACTGTTTTCACAGAAACTGCAAGGAGTGTGTACACAGTACTTTTGTACATGAATCAATATTGGTAATTCAAAATTACATGACTCCATGTAGTGCACACACAAAGGCTAGAGAGTGTCAGTTGTGTTGGTGGCAACTTGTACAAAAATGGAGAGGCATGGAATCTTCTAAACAGTTACTGCGTTTCACAATTATGGAGGCAAATTTTACACAAATGAACACCTCTCCCTACTGAAGACACAAATTGTCCTTTCTGAGTGACAGGAGAGAGGAAAATAGTAAAGAAAGATGACAGAGATGAAGTAAATGTAGTTACGACAGTTGTCTCGTCGGCCTATTCTGTGGTTCAAAAGCCATTTTGTGATGAAAGCAATGCTACTGTACATCTCCGTGCTGAATATGGTGGAGACTACTCAGATCCTTATCTTTTTTTCCAACTCGCTATCGACTGCATTCCCCAACTCATGGTGTCCGGTTTGGCTATCGCCGTTAGGTCGCTGCAGCCTGTCCCATCTCTGCGGCTTGTTGCATAGACGGGGCATCCTCTGACGGGCTGAACAAGTATCTGAGGTAGGTGACAATCATCATGATGTGTGAAGGGAGGTACAGATAAGTGGTGTAGGCGGCCGTGCACAGAATGATCAGCACTGTTGTATCTGAGGGGGGAACTGGTCAAGGGCATTCAAAGTAAAAATCTAGAAAATACCTTTTTTTTTCTAGATCTCTCCCCTTCAACCTAAAGACTTATGCAGTAGTTATTTTAGCATTTACACAGATGTGACTGTTTGAAAAAATGCTGAATTAACAGTAATGTCACAGTTAGATGAATCAAAATCCAGGGTCTGTACAAACTTCCAAAGGTGTCATTTATGAAAGACTGTTTTCAATACATATTTCCTGTTTTGTGTATGTGCATGGACTGTGTAGCGAGGGAAGAAAATAAAACGGAAAATGGTAGATTGTGTCTAGTTAAGAAGTAGTCTCTGTTCAAGTCAATGTTTGAAATCCATAATTATACTGAAGGCAGGAGGTCCACATGTTAAAATGTTTCTCATGTTCTGCAAACCTTGTTTTACACCCTGAAATCAATATTTATGGATTTTTATCTAGTTAAAAGCAGTCTTTGTTCAAGTACATATAAAATACAGTTTGCAACATATAAACATCAGTTTCTCGTTTAACCCTAACCCCCCCAAGGGTTGCTGGCCCTAACCTTCCCCATTCACACTAAGTTAAACACCCATATGGGACTTTGCGCACAGCGGCTGTTGGACTTTGTTTTTCCGAGGTATGCCAAACCCAATGCAAAAGCCAGCTGTTATGGGCCTACCCGACCTATCCCCACAGAAATGGAGATGGGGCGTAGTGGTTAGGGGCGAAATGGTTAGGGGCGGCGTGGAAATGGGGCGAAGTGACTGTAGCCCTAAACCTTTCTGAGTTTTCCCACTAGCAATTAGCATGACTTATGATGACCTACGCCTACATGGCCTTTCTTTACGTCATGTACATAAATGAAAAAGGATACTGTATATTCTAGCTTCCCAATCCTCCATCATATAGGTAGCAGACACGATCTGATATTGTAGCCATGCTATCCTAAAAAACCTAACAATCCGCTGCCACAAAGTCAACGGTTTCTTGGATTCAGCCATTTTTCTGGTTCACTAAACCCTGCTGTTGAGTGTCGTTGGTTGTTTCGACGACAAAACACACAAACACACACACACCCAATTAGCAATACAAATCGCTTTGCCATCTGGACGCAATTCCGGGTTAAAAGTACATTGGAGACGTCTGGGAACCGATCTAAAAAAAAAACCAAGACATCTTACAGGGCGCCCTCTGTTGTAAGGGGTTATGCGAAGAATTTTACTCGGGTGCAATTTTCGTGCAATTTTTAGCTCACCATCAGTGCCAGCAAATGATTTTGTTATGCCGAAACAAAAGCGCCTGGCCCAATAGTTGGGACAGCCCCAACTAGAGCGCTATAGTTGGGCCGGCCAAACTATAGCACAGAGGTCCAGTGTGCACATGCCAAAGTCATATTGTTTACAATGTCATGTAATAGATGAAATGCCATTTTTTAATTGTGTCACGTGTGGGAGGCAATAAACTTTTAGAAGGCTGAGAAATTTTCTATAGAAATTGGTCAGCCATAGTTTAGCCAGCCCAAGTGCAGCACTATTAGAACAGATGCTATAGTTGGGTCGTAACAATTTGACAGCTTTTTGTGTTGAAGTGTATCGAAAAGTACATTTTAAAAAACTGCCCATGCTTTTCTAGCCAACTGACGTGACTGGGGGCTCCACTGTTGAACGTCATTAAGTGTAGACTATTCAGTTTACAGTATAGGGAGTTTCTGTTCAGTTTGCAAACCAAACATTTGCATGTCGAGATCATGTTAAGAGAAAGAAGTGCTCTTTGGCTTATTGCCCTCAACAAAAAGTGAACCTGTACGTTTCTATGCACAAATCATTGTAACATGTAGGTTTCCTCTGTGAGATGAATTCACAAACTTGTTCGTGAATATGGAAATCTGTATCATAAAACCAAAAAGACACGAAAAAACCTTTAAATAGTGAAGCAAAACAAAGACTGAAAAGGAGGTTGGTTCAAACACAACAGTGCATTTTCAAACTGAAATGTATAGACTTTTAAACAATTTTTGTGACCTCTGATGGAGAAAAAGCAAAATGATTTAACAGTGGTGGAACTTGAAATAATGGAAGTTCACTTGTGACACACCATGAAAGTACACTAAATCTGGATTGTGCCTAAAGGTTCCATATTAGAAAATGTGAGGATGGCAGTCCAGAGAACAAGAAGTTAGAAGCACTTGACAAAAAACACTTTCATCAGTAAGATTTGTAAACTGCATACACCATTTATTCTACCAGCTGTTCTCATGCCCAACCATTCTTGGATCAATTAAATTATATTCCACTTTACAAATTAAGAACTGTTTGAATAAACATAATTTAAACATGTACAGTTAAGTTATCTACACACATAGTGATGTACTTGTACTTACAACACAAATATGAAAAGTATATTATTCTGTAACTGTTGGAATTTTTTTTATTGCACAGTATATTACATCCTGCAAAATGTTTGTAATTTTGTTCATTTATACAAAAAACATGAAAAATAAACACTCTCACTAAAAACAATCCAGCAAAACAACTTTTGCCATCACCAAACAATGTGCAAAGTTAAGCTTAGTTTATTCCATCCCTTTGTCAATTGTTTGACTGCGTCAGATGCTAGGGCATCCACATGGTTTATTAAGAGGTAACAAGAAACCACACTACTTCCAGTCACTGCAATTAAAAATCTGTCACACGTGAATCATGTGGTCACTGGATAGGGTCAAGGGTGGACCCAAAACCATTATTTTGGGTGGGGGGGGACTTGGGACATTTCTTTGTGACCTTTTTATTGCCTTTCTGGGAAGCAGTGCCAATTTTGAGGGCTTTTGACAGGCTTTAAATGATCCTCCTCCAAAAAAGAAAAAAAAAAACCTGTCCAAAACCAAAAATTCCAGGGGGAATACCTTTGGAAAAGGTATTCCCAGAGGGAACGCTTTGTCATGGTTTATTTAAATGACTTTTGACCTAGACTGATGACTGGATGACTTGTGGTGACATCAGGGGACGTACAGAAATCCATGAAACATCAAGAATAGACTTTTGCTCTGGTTGTGAGGCTGATATCTCCCGTTCCACACCAGACGCACATGTGGCAATCAGTACGCATATGCAGTGTGTTGGCCCCAGTAAAGCTAGGGTGCTAGTTTGCTGTGCACAGTGAAACCTCTGTCTGTGGTATAGGCATTATTTGGATGAACAAGATCACATGATCAGTGGCTACGAAAAAATAATCCATACAGAATTACACTAAGTATTTAGACTCCTCTCCAGTCTTTTTAACTATGTGCCTCCCCCCCCCAAAATGGAGCCAACACACGTTTACTCCTTCAGACTGTTATTTCAAATATGGCTAATTATAAATATTGTTGTCTGACAATACACAAGTGTCACCAGAGGGCTCTATACAAATGAACATCTTACTTGTAGGACTCAATGCTTCAAAGCATGCCTCCAGCACATGCATTCACAACAAACAACATTCCCTCCGGCTGTCAAGCCAAAACTACCAAAAAAAAAAGGACACCCCATGAAAACCGATCATGCATGCACTGATGACAACTGTAACTGCATTCTCCACACGATATACATCGAACAGCTTTACAATATCGGCCGTCACACCCTTATATTTCATTTCATTGTTTTCCTTCATAACATTGACCTCATACGGAAAGTGACCACGTTCATTGGTGACAAGGTTATGTAAAGAAATTGACAGGAGCTGACCTTGAACCTGCAACCACCATAACACTGTACCTGGGCTCCACCAATTGTGAATACCGACAGATTACTAGTATTGTCATCTGACGTACATATTGTACTTGGCCTTAGGGCTGAGACACCAAACAAGGACATCAACTATTTGGCAGACAGCCAACATAGAGGTGGATGGGTGTCGTCCAATGGTAGAGCATTAACAGAGTTTTCAATTGGTCAAAGGTTCAAGAAATCTTTGTTGCCATCAATTTACCAGGGCCCCCCTAAAGGAATGCCTAATACATGTGAACATGCAAATTTTACACGACCCCATACACTAGTGAACTGCAGTCACCGGTCAGGTAAAAGACACCAATGCTGTTGATGGGTTGATAACTGTAAGCCGACTCTATTAGGGAGAATGTGTCCTGATTGGTCAATATCTGCAGGTCCAGATGCACATGTCTGGAAGAGTTTTCTGACTGGCCAAATCTCCCGATCTTATAATAAGCTGTATAAATATCAAGATTTCAGACTCAGCTTGGAGTTCCCCTCTGGTGATTTCGTTTGCGCAGCCTTTAAGGGCTCCGCACATGAACAAAAGAGGGCGCTTTGTTACATAGCAACAACTTGCCTTTGGGTTGGTGCATCTGGTCAAACTTTTCACTTTCCAGTTGATGCACACTGTTCTGCACAATAAACAGAGGCAGCCAATCTGTTCATGGTTGGATCTCTCTCCACTTTAACTTTGAATAGTTTCTATGAGTGGGTACATAGTGGTTGGCCCAATCTTTCTGTTGGTCTCTGGGGGTGCAGCGGGTGCTTGTGCATGGAGCTCATATGGGTAACATTTTAACCTTTCACACTGCATGAAATCACTGCGGCCCAGGTCAAATCCTGGCCTTGTCACCTGTGACTAGTGGCTGCCCTCCACAGTGACACCACGGAGGCAGCGGCTGAGGACATCAGCCCTCCGCCCCCGCCCCCTACTGGGGGCGAACCCTCCGTCACGGTCCCCAGAAGCTCCGACCCACTACCATCTGAGCCTTCCTGTTGAAATGAGGCCACAGACTCGGGCAGGGGACTGGTGATTGCTGTACTTGGGTTGCCAGGGAGGGCGGGCACCTGAGAATCTAGCACGTTCTCCCAGTCCAGGTCGCCTGACGTGTCACTGTCCTCGTCCACGAGGTGCGATAACGGTTCGCTGGCACTCTCCGACTCACTCGTCAGGCTGGTGTGGGACGTCCTAGGCACAGACAGCAGCAGGTCTGCATGTACATCAATAGGACCATTCCTAAATTTGAGACAGACATTTTAATGGATTAAAAATCGTATTCTCATTTATAATAATAGTGTTGTAGTAGGTTCACCACAAATCCTCTCAAAATTCCCTTCGTAAGTCCTTTCACAAGACCAGTCGTTACAAAAAGAACAGGCTGAACAGTGACAAAGAAGTATTCTTTCACAATTCATTTGAATAGCTTGTGACTTGGTTTCAGACTTGATGACTTGTAATGGACTTGTAGGAACATATGACGGACTTGACTGTAACACTGTTAATAATATAATAATGTACATCTTCATATGAAACCTGTATATTCAAAACTGAGAGGTCTTAAAACAACTTAAGTCTTAGTCTTTTGTGCAAATACTGGTACCAGTATATTATAGAGTACCGAGGTGTGACGTCACTGTGAACCAGAAAGTGCAATACAAACAAATGGAGTACACGCGCACGTGTGTTGGTTCACGCGCTGGTTCTCGCGCTGATGCCTTTTACACACTAATTGTGCGCGTGACGTATTCACTTTGGTACTTTATGAAAGTACAATTTTCACATTATGCGAATTCATGCCCATTATCACAAACTGATTACTCACATTGTGGCATCTTGTTTTGCAAGCCCATTCCAATATAACAACCTCTATACTACAGATCTAACCCCACAGAATTGATCCAGAGGTTTGGTGAACTTTGAAAGACTGAGGGCAGTATGGCACAGACATCACCATCCCTTTAAACAAGGCTTGGTGTTCCTTGAGAGTCAAAGTATAATGGATGTTACCATTGGTTTCCAACAAATTGGAGGACATCGGAAGATTGAGGAAAGCTCCTAACCAACATGCAATAGATGTTGGGTTTTAGCACACAGTTCACTGCAAAACACTGATATATGACAAGAGAATATTTGACCTCCCTGTAACCAAATTGGTCCTCACTGTGACACTGGGCTCTGGATACACGTATATATTACTAAATTCCAGTTTCAATTTGGAATGGAATATCACCTTTTGGAATTAGGTATTTGGAAAAATCACAACTTCTCTTTTGGTAACAACCGACTACTAACCTGCCGAGGTGAATGTTACTGGGACTCAGAAGAGCCAGCAGATTGCGCACAGTGTAGTGGGGATGTAGGCACTCAACATCTACATTCTGTAACATACAGAAAAACTGCAATAATGGTATCAACACTTCAAAATGGCTTCAAGGTACATGCATAAACAAACCTTATCAATGATTAAACCCCCTTGGGCATAATTTTACCGGAGCATATGTATCTTGTTGCTGTAACTGAAACCTTGTGTTGAGGTACAGGTATTGAAAATGTGATGCTGACTAACCTGACTGAAGCAGAGATATAGGACATTAGTATTGAGTTTGTCAACGGCCTTGTAGAAATCATGAGAGCTTAGCTGCTCACCACAAAACACGCTGCAATCGCAAAACAGAATTCAAAACATCAAAAACAGGCCAATCAGTTAGAAGCTATAAGACTAGAGGTGGATCTGTGTACAGTTTCAAGTAAATACCTTAAGGTCTGAATTCTAATGAAGTGACTTGTGACAATAGTCAAGTGAATGCAGGTCTTCAGTGCGTACAAGCACATTGCATTGCTACTGCACCGCCATGCAATCTGACCTAGCATTAATGGTGTCTCCTCTGAATTTCAATGATGGTGTGAAACTCTTCCTGCAATTCATCTGCCATTCTGAGGAGATGCTATTACATTAGTGGCAGCCCATTCAATGAATGCACCTTGCACATGCACATGCAGTATACGGCACTCTGGCAGACTATGACCATGATGTTGGTTGAGAAGCATTAACAACTGTACATGACTTGTGAGCTAACCTGATACATCAACAGTAATGACTTTAGAATCTGGGCTAAGTGTGATCAGAGACCATTTGCCATCCAATGCTTGATTACGCCCGGTAACCTACAGGTAGGCACAAAATAAATCCTGTGTACAATGCAAAATAAGCCAGTAGTTGACAACTGGTCACTGACCGAACTTGACCCTGGTCATCATATGAGAAGGCTCATGGCAAGTCTGTTAAAAGAATATGTGCAACATGTTCCAAAATAAAATCATGACACTGACCCAAAGGGACACTTTTTGGGAAGCACGACGCCGAGGTAGAATGTTAGGACGGACACTAGCTGCGCTGTGTGACACAAGGCACCACCGAGAACTTTGCCAGGATTGTCCAGGTCCAGTTGGGTGTCAGTCCCTTGGTTGGCACTCTCCTTGGCTGCCACTACACAGGGAGAGAAGGAATCATGTAATGAAGACCATGCAAGAACAGTGGAGAGCACTTGGTGACTTACAGGCACAATTAAGACATTCTGGTTTCTTAAATGTGAAGGGCATGGAGCAAGCATGACGGCTTTCTCATCTGACTGCAAGCAACCCTGTAGTTTCTCTCCACAAAATAAAAGCATCTGAAAGGCAGGCTGGCAGACAAGGGTACGTAACACTCGTAATGCTCTGCTGGTTTGCACATGTAAAAGCACGGAATGGGCAAGCCAATTTGTGCCAAAAAAAGAAAAGAAAAGAGGGAACACTTTCAAATCAGAGGACCACATTTGAACTTGTGTCATGACAGAAACGGTGCTTAAACACTAATCACTGGATGAGAATATTTTGCATTTTTACAAAAGAAGTTATAGTTTAGCACAGGCTCTACACAAATGTAAATGTACATCAAGTTATAACAGTCAAGAAGTGAAAAATTCAATTCCGATGATACGCTATGAGGCCAACTGACATTCCCTACTGGAGAGTTGAGATTTCTGAATTACTATACTTGAATAATCCACAAGTAAACTACACACAATACAAAGTACTCATTTGTACAACTACTGGTTGTCAACTGTTGTGAAGAAAAAATTCACGATGCAAAAGTGTAACTAATTCAGAGAAAAATCTCTGAAAATCTGTTAATTACAGCTCCTCCATATTGAAACCCCTCCCACCCCTTCTTTTAAGCCTTTAATTTAGAGCCCCCGCCTTGTCTTTACCCCAAGTGCTATATGCAGTGTAGTCTCCGTTGGCAGGTATGCTGACCGCGCTTGGATGTACCAGGCTGTACTGGACTTCGTGGCTGTTCTCTGTCTCGATCCAGCGTCCCTGCACGTAGGCTGTCCGCCTGGCATCTGCTAAATCAGCCACCAGCTGGTCCTCCTCCTCCAGGTGTGTTGGTTTACTGTCTCTGTGGAGGGAAAAATCAAGTTTCTCAAAACTGTCTGTTTTAAAGGTGTTCTGAAAACCATACTTTGGTGGTTGTGGAAAAAGCAACAACACTGTCGTGAGAGCCCAAGCCTCCTTGTTTCGTAACATCCAATTTGTACATCAATCATAAAGTTTCAACAAACTCTTAGTTTTGTTATCACCTAAACTAACACTAGGCTTTTAGGACATACATGTACATGTATGTATAAAGTTTGACTCTTGGGACTCAATATTTGACCATGGTATGGGCATGCAGACTCCAATTTGGAACCAAGGGCTAAGGAAACATTTGGCACTTGCCTCCTCACATTTGGAACTAATCACAGATGCACGTAACACTCAAAACCTAAATTCAGAACTTGGGAATCACCTCACAAACTTACAACTCACAAGATGCGGGCTAAAAACTCACATCTTAAAGTCAGTACTCAAATCTAAGTCTTAGGTCTCACTCTTACCCAGTATGAATCTCGTTGATGGAAAAAATGTAGGTGGTTAGTTGATTCACACTGGTTCTCCTCAACTCGGACAACTTCTTTTCGTAGCCATCAAGTTCAGATCGCCGACTGACTAATGCTCCTTTGCCGTTCTCTGTAACACAATAAAAAATGAAAGTCAAAATGAAAATTTCATTCCTTTTCTATTCAAAAAGAACACAAAAAGAAATCCACAGCAATGCTTCTTTTTCAAATATATAATGATGGTCAAATATTCTACTTTGAATTGAATATTCCTTGTTGACTAGATAAGCATATGAATGCAAACAAACTCGCGCTGGAGACTCTCTTTTATATCCTTTTTTGAAAATTACTGTTGAAAATATGATCATGTTTCAAGGGCCTATACACATCCCATAGACAATCTTAGCTATCTGGGAAATACATGGACACAGTTCAATGAGGTCTTTTCAGCATAAATTCAAACATGGTAGCTATCTACATGTATACCCCCCACATATTTATGTCGGGGGGGGGAATGATGCAAACTAGTAGTAAAATGTCTTGTCTAAGGACACAAATGAACAGCTCTGTGGTCTAAATACAAATCTCCCAACTTGTAGAACTGCCCATTGGATACTGAGTTCAATGCTTTGGAACAAGAGACAACAGTGCTTCATAGTATTGAGAACTTCTTGCTCCTACCTAGGACCTTTTGGATGCGTTCCAGCTTGGTCATGTGGGTCCTGGCTGTGTTCACTCTGTCTTTAATTCGGCTATTTTGTGACATCTGGGAAGCTTCATCTGCAGAAAAGGATTGAGGAACAGTTGGTCAACTACTGTACCACAACTGAGGTAGCACTCAATGCAATTCAATTTAACCTAACTTTTAAA